TTGTTTTTGTGAAATAGAGGTATTAGATTTACCTTTGGTTTTGTATTTGGTCACGTATGTGTAGCTAATGGGAGGACTGATGAAACTTCTTTGTGTCTAAAACATAAAATTACAAGGATTGTACATTCTAGTCCCCTTTTCAGATATTAGTAAAGAATTACCTTCTCTGTATGCATTTGCATTCTTAAATCTTTGGCTCTCATCAGTAGCTTAGCTGAAGTTCCTTCAGCTAAGGAATCTTCGGCCTCATTTATGTTTCTATTTTCCCAGCCCCGCTTTATGTTAAAGCAAGAGGGAAAAGATATACCTCCAGCCTCCAAGAACAGGAATTCTTAACTTCCCTTTGCTGCTGCTATTCCAGGCTTAGAAAGAAGACGGTTTTGGTATATTGCTTTGGAAGCCTTTACATTTCTTTGCTAATTTAGGAGATAGAAAAGCTTCTGAATTTGATGGCAGGGTCCTGTTGTATTTGATTTCTCTGGGGTTCTCAGCTTGTGAGAATGGGCAGCACTGTTGTGGTGGCTGAGTGGTCTCATCTCAGGCCTGTGACATGCTGCTCCTGTCAGCTGATGGTGACTAGCTGAGGTTGCAGGCAGTCCCCAGGCTGCCTTTTACCGCAGTGATTTGGAATTTTCAGCTCATATTTATTGCTTTTGTGAAAGACAATAGATGTGGTTTAATTTAAGTTCAACCTACTGAATATTAATAGAGGAGAACAAATGCTAATGCGGGGAGACTGCATCTTTGGGCCGTTTAACCTCCTCTCCCCAACAAAGGTTTGTGTAGGTTGGGGGAGGGGTTTGGAAAAATAAAATCAGTTTGTGTTTGAAGGAGGAGATGCCATTTCATTATTTCTCACTGACTAAAAATAATAATTTAAAAATTGGTGTCAGGGCTTTGTTAGGGGAAGGAAAAGGCAGCACCCATTGGCTCGTTTAATGTTATAATAATGGCTATTCTGCCCTGTGGCATCATATTCCATCTTGCTGACCTGGCTATTCTGGATCTGGCAGGCGGTACAATTTGGATGAAAACATTCAAAATAAAAGGGGGTGGCCAGTAAGTACAGTCGAGATGTGAAAACAGGGTGTCTGTGGAGATGTGCAAAAACGAAAAAGCCCAGATTTATCCAACCATGTAGACTAACTAAAAAAAAAATGTAAATTTTCTTTGTGCTGATATATACAGGATGGGAGTACTCAAATTGAAACAAGTCAAATCATATGCAGAACAAGTCGGTCTTACCCCTTATAAAGACTGGAAAGCTGAAGTCCTTCAATTTGCATAACAGGCAGTCAGTTCCCTATGTATGTACCCCATTTCCCTAATCTGGGAAGTCAGTCAGCAGGCAGTGTCTCTTCTAGTTGAGGTAATCAGTCATTGTTAATCCTTGGAATGGGGAAATTTTTGGAGCTGTTTGAAGAGATTAGTCTGGTGAGGGATTGGACAGTGGATCCCCTACTTTCGTTCCTTTTAATGTAGCTAGCTAGTGTTTCAGAGCATCCTTGTCTGTTTTGCCTCACTTAAAGCTCATATACAGTCCATTAAAATTTTCCCTTTTTCATCTAAAATTTCGTAATCCAACTTTCCTGCATTTGTGCTTGGACAGTTGATTTTTTTTGGAGGGTAGAAACATTGTAACTTTTTTTTACATTGATGCCTTAATTATGAACACTTTCCTCCTGCATGTTAACTTTTTCAATGTTTGTATTTATTATTACCTGACTCTTGTAGCTTTGAGGTAAGTTTCTTAAGCATCCATCTTTCGTTTTACAAAATTATTGATATAGGTGATATTGAATGCCCCCACAGAACTTCGGGTGCCTTACTGTGGTTCCATTGTGTTATGGTAGTTTGTGCAATCATAATTCATTTTCTGGGATCTCATTCATACTTGCCCAGAGCTTCATAGTGTCTTAGGGCAACTGGGTCTCTTACTGGTTTGAATCCAGCTTTTCTCTACAATAGTGGTTCTCAAAATATGGTTCTGCACCAGCCAAAGCAGTATCTACATCATTTGGGAATTAGAATAGGACACAGTAGGGTTGAGGCCTACGGGACTGTGTTGAACAAGCCCTCCAGGTGATTCCGATTCATGCTCAAGTTTGAGGATCACCACTCTTCACAGTCTACTGAGCTTATTCTTGTTAGGACAGCATTATAGCTGTCATTGAATAGCTTAACTTTTCTCTGCTAAATCACTCTCACTCACTCATTCACTCAGCAAAAACTTAACTTGTTAACGTTCCTCAGTGTCACCTACAAGCATCTAGTCCTTCTTTATTTCCATCTTGATCCAAATATACTTTCAAAACAACTTCCTCCTCTTCCTCCTCTGCCTTCCCCCCACTTCTTCGCCCTCTCCCCTTCCCCTACCACCACCACCACCACCACATGTTTTTGTATTTTGTTTTGGGGCATATTGCAAATTCCAACTTTGCTGTTCTTGTGTTGGTATTGCTAGCTTGTTTGCTGGCTCCATTGATACTCACTGCTCATCCCTATCACTTTTTCTTGCCGTATAAGCTCAAAGTTTCTTCTTTGCACATCCTACAAACTACTTTGCATGTACTAACTGATATTCTTGTGTGTTTGTCAATCTGTCTCCTCTCACTGGAATTTAGATTTTCTTTGATATACCTGTATCCCCAGTGCCCTGGCATATGGTAGGTGTTAAGAAAATGAATGGTTGAATTCTTATTACCTCCCTCCTTTCTTTCTTTCTTCTCCTTGATGTACTATTGAAAAATTTGAACTCACTCAAGAATACACTTATATTAACACGTATATCTGTTTTTTTCTCAACAATTTTACATATGATTCTGTAAACAGAATTTTTATTTTGAATTTTCCACCCTTTTCAAGTGTGGTATTTTATCCATCTTTTCCTCTTTTTACACATATGACTTATATCCCTGAGCTGGTTTCTCAGTTAAGTATTTTCTGAGTTTTCCTATTGTTTGGGTGGGTTGGCAGCCACCACTCCCTGCTCCACCTTTCAGTAGGACATTATTACTGAAGTGCTCTAATTTAGTGCTGATAGAGACATAATTTCAACCCATGTTTTAGTTTTCTAGAGCTCCATTTAAAAAATCTTTTAAAAAAGCTGGTAAGATTAATTTTAATATATTTGACTTTACCTAATAATACATCCAAAATATTTCAAGAATTAATTAATATAAAATTATTAATGAAGTTACATTCAGTTTTAAATTAATGAAACTTAAAAATAAAAACATTTCCTTATCCATACTAGTCATATTTCAAATGCTCAATGTGACTAATGGCCACTGTAAAAGATAGCAAAACTTTAATCTGTGAAATGTTAGCCATAGTGCTACCCTCCGACTCATGGATTTTCATAAAATTTTGTTTTTTTTTTTTTTTTTTTTTTGCCTCACAGTGCAAACTCCCCACATTTTCTCTTTCTTGGGAAGTTGTATATATTTTCATTTCCATATTGTAGTCAGGACTCCAAAAGCAACATGTCTCAGTGACAGCCATGGGATTGTATTTACTGCACTGTATTAGATTTCCAACCTTATTACACATACTCTGAAATGATATAAAACTAGATAACTGGGGAAATGCATGCATAAACAGCAAGTGCCAGGGTTTTGTTGTAGTGTACTATGTTCTTTCAGAAAATTTTACCAAATATATAGAACACTGTATTCTATATCAGTTGTCCCCAACCTTTTTGGCACCAGGGACTAGTGCTCCTATGAGAATCTAATGCCTCATGATCTGAGGTGAAGCTGAGGCAGTGATGCTAGCACTGGAGAGTGGCTGCAAATACAGATGAAGCTTCGCTGGCTTGCCTGCCGCTCACCTCCTGTTGTGTGGCCCTGTTCCTAACAGGCCACGGACCTGTGCAGGTCTGCTGCCCGGGGGCTGGGGACCCCTGTTTCATATAGTGTAAATGCAACTAATAGGAATCACTCTTAAAGTGGTTCAATTAAAAAGGTATTTAATACAGGGAATTAGGTGCTTACAAAATTGGTGGAAGGGTTGGAAGAACAAAAATCAAAGGGTCACCCTGCACTTCAGGCATCTTTAAAAGCCAGACATGGCTGTGAAAATGCAGATACTGTGTTTTTTTCATGAGTCTGGTGACTAAACAGTGAAATTGGGTGCCAGTTGCTGTGGACATTTTTGCTGGTTCACCCTTCTCCATGGGTAGAACATAAGTTGTATCCAGAACTCTAGATGCAAGGACATCTGAGTGCTAGAAGACTGACCAGGCTTTTATTTAGTTGATACCCATTAGTGTAGCCTTCCTTACTGCTTGTTAAAATATTTCATATCACTTGGCACAGCCCATCTCTAGGACTTTTCTCCATTGTGCTTACATACCCTGGGGCCCCCAGACACCTTCTTCTGCATGGTGCCATATATACAGTCAGAGAAAATCTTTATCCTTTGAAACAAGCAAAGGCAAATATGGTGACTATCTAATACAACGGGTTGCTGTGAAGAGAAAGTATGGGTAGTAAGATTTCCAATTCACAACTAAGATACGGCTATAAAGTAATGATGCTTTTTCTTGTGTAGCAGGCACTGGTTCCTGAAGATAATTCCAAAAAAAAAATTTCATCATTTCTGGAGTAAATATTTAGCTCTTGGAGGATAACTAGTTTGAATTGGTAATGCTTGAGATGCCTTGCTTTCCCCCACCCAAGCCCTAAAAGATGTTTATGTACTTCAGAAAAGAACCTTACAGTATATTACCATGATTTAAAATTTCTGCTTGAATTTTTTTGCTACTGAAATTATTTCCTTTTTAGGCATTTCACTCCTGTAAAAGATTAAAAGTAGATGAGATGCGAGACTCAACCCCCCCCACCCCACCCCCCATTCAAAAGGGATGTGTGCCTTTTAATTCTTTTCTATCCAGAATCTTGTCTGTCTTCACAAGCCATTGTGTAGGGTTAACTGTGGAAAAGTACTGCTTCCTGATATCATGTATTTAAGTGTTTGTCCCCTTTTCTCACCTGTAGGGCTCCTTGGTAATGGCCAGTCTAAGGGATTAGGACCAGCATCAGAACAGTCAGAGAATGAGAAGGATGATGCATCCCAAGTGTCCTCTACTAGCAACGATGTTAGTTCTTCAGATTTTGAAGAAGGGCCGTCGAGGAAAAGGTTAGTACCCAAGGCTGAAAGTATCGGTGCCTTAAAACAGGGACTGCAAACTAGGTGCCAGTTTTTGCCACATGGGAACAAACTTGAGCCCATTCACCCAATCTCCTGATTTTTAATAGAGGAGCCAGAATGCTGAATTTTTATGTGAGATGTCCTGGTTTCTAAATAAAAATAAATACACAAAAAATAGTATGGGCCAAACAAAACATGTTCCTGCCCTAAAAATTGGCCAGACACCAATTTGTAATTCCTGTCTTCACTGTTCATTTTCATTGATTTTCATCAGTAGTATTCCTTGACTATATTTGATGGCATTTTGCCATTCTTGAAGAGAAATGTTTCTAAAAATCTGAAGAATTAAATGTGGTGTTTCTAAAAAATCTTGCCCCTCATCAGGAAAGCAAAATCCATTTGGCGTTTAATTAGGTTAGTAGTTGTGGAATCAGTTTTTATTTTTTATTTTTATTTATTTTTGGAATCAGTTTTTAAAACATTAATTTTAGCAGCAGTTTTTTAAAGAATGACTGTCCTAAATAAACTTTACATAGTTTGATAAGGAAGTAGGCTATATGGTAGATTGATAAGTTTGTGGTTTTATGGTCAAACAGTGATAGTGACATTATGTAACAATGCTTTCAACTGGGTGTTTAAGAACCATTTACTAGTTATCTCCCTTATTTCATATCTCACATATTGTTTTCCTTTTCCCCCCATTTAGAATTTATATTTCATTTCATCCTTTTCCGTTCTCATACTTGATGTTTTCCTGGATGACTAGGTTAATGACATTTTCTTAGAATCTCTGCTAGTTTGAGAGGTTGGGGAAAGGAAAAAAAATTCCCCTGGTCCGGTCTTCTTTGTTTACTCTTTCTACAGAATTATAATTACTTTTCGGAAACTAACTAGATGTGTGTATCTAATGAAGAACTGCGTATGGTGGAAAATTAAGAGGAAAGGACAGAATTAGCCGTGTGTAGATATTTGACATCCTTAACAGAGTTATGCTTTGGAGGTGAAATTTGAGATGCATCGGAGCATTATTTTCCTCCATCATGCAGTATCTTTGTTTGGAAAGCCGCATGATACAGAGTCTGTATTAACTTCCATCCTTATTTTCTCTTAATCCTCAGCACTGTGTCTTGGATGTCAGTAGATTTGTCGTTAGGACAGTTAGCAAGCATATGTAAGAATTATCTCTGCTAGTATACTGGGCTTTTGTATACTGTTCTTTTTAAAGACACTTGGGTGAGTGTCTCAGTAACAAGCCTATTGTGTTTCAGATACTCTGTAATAAATATTCACACCGTCCCAGTTTGAGGAGGACTGCATTATCACAAGAGAAGGGAGTGCAAGATGTGTTTTAAAAAACCCACATCAGTAAATATTTGGAATGTGTAATAATATTATATGTGCTTCGAAACATGGGTGAGTGGTCATGCATCTAGCATCATCTTTTATCTCTGTTTGGGGAACAAAATTTGGTGAGTTTGTGGTTAGAAGTGACAGCACCCAGTCCTTTTGTTGTGTCATGTAGGTCTTCGTCACCCTCATGTCTGGTAATATCCGGTCGGTGTGGGAGTGTGGTGACGAACATCAGTGGGCTTCATTCTCTTGGAAGGGGCGGGGGCCTTTTGTCCCTGGCTCGTAGTGCCTTTCTCAGATGACGGCGCTGCTTGCTTCCTCTTCGTTTGGCATATTGGTGTTGTGTGGCAGCTGTGTGCAAAGCAGTCATTTAACTTCAGTGCTCCAGGCCAGTGGAAAAGAGAAGCTTTGTTCAGGAAGAATTTAAGGAAAATTTTACCATTGCTGGTCTGCTCTAATTTTAGTGTGCCAAGCATCTTTTCTTACCAATCGAAGACACATAGCAGCATTTTATTTGATTATAATCACACTCTACTAGTGAAATCTTTCAGGGACATAATATAAATTAAGGGTTGACCGGTTAGGCTAGTTTTAGGACAGGTCTCTGGTGGCCTGGAATACAGGCGGAGGGCTGTGTAGTTTACGAACGGGTAGTGTAGTTAAGGCATAAATTTCTTGTAATGTTGCAGGCAGGATACATAACAAGTACAAAATAAAAACAACTTCAAGTACTTTCTGGTAATGAATTTGTTTTATCCCTCATTGGTAGTCAGTATGAGTATTTAGTATAAATAATTTGATATGAACCCTTTCTTCTAAGGCAGAACGTATAAATTGTAACCTGAATTCCTAAAGCTTTGCTAGTGTACTATTCGAACTGTAGTACTCCACTCTTCTTCTACATATACTGTACTTTTTCTAATACATTGACTGAGTGTGCTGTCTCTGCTGATGACAAGTCAAGTCCAGAGTAACTACTAAAAGTGGTTAGTTCAAAATGTTACTTCAAGCTCTGAGTGGATTGTTGACTAGATGCTACTTTTTACTCTGTGTGTAAAATTCCCTAAGCCTGTGTGTGTGTGTGTAAAGAGTATGTTTCCTGATCGACCATTTTGCAGTCCCTGCTGGCATTTAGACTTTCTAGGAAAAATACATTGAATCCTAAAAATTGAGCGCCATGATTTACATACTTGCTTTGGAAAAAGTATTCTGTACATTTTTGGAATGATACGAATTAGTAGCTGTTCTCATACAGTTAATTACTCTTTCTAAGTCCATGTCTTTAGGATTACCAGTTAATATGCCTTTTGGTGCGGAAAAGGGGAAAAGAAGGAAAGAATTTATGTTTTTGTTTCCCTTAAGACAAATTAAAATCTGAAGGTGTAGACTGTACCAGCCTTAATTCAACTTGCCCTGAGTTTCCAGCCTGTAAATTGAAGCAATTCCATTTTCTGATGATGCTTGTAACATGTTTTTTAAGTCTTTAGTCAGAACATCCCATATGTTTACAAAGTGTTATTTTTTCTACAGGAAACCCCCTAAGCTGTATTTCGGTGTCAGTACATGATGCCATTGATTTTAAAGAAGTTGAGATCTTTTTGTCACATAGAAAGTAGTAGAATCCAGAGTCTGTAGGATTTATTTTTCTTTATCGAGGCAAAAATATGTTATCTTTTTATTTAGCCTATAAGAGGTCATTATCTAAATCATTCTTTGCAAAAGGAAAAGCTACCCTTTCTTTAGAAGCTCCCTGCCTGTTTGATGGACAGGGCAACCTAACCAATGGAGATCTGGAAGACTTGGCACTGACAGGAGTTCCTAGGTGATTTTCCTTTTGATCATTGTGGTAGGTGAATTAAATTTTTTTTTAACAATTATAATTAATGTAGTTTTTACTGTTTAGAATGGAAACATTATAGAGACATTCAGCCTTTAATCATCCTTTTCTGAATTTGTTAGTGGCCACACCTAGCTCCTCCCACGCCCCCACCTACCTATACTGCCAATCCCATTACACTTGGTTATTGTAAAATTTGTGCTTCCTGCAAAAAATATCTGAGTGTTTTCTCTGAAACCAGAATGGACAGTTTTTGTTAGCCAGGTATAGACTGACTATGAGAAACTCTGGAATGGTCGTTATGGAGATAGGAGTTCTCTGTTTGGCTGGTGGAAAGGAAGGTGTTGTGCAAAGAAGTTGGTGATGGTATGTTTTTAGGTGTAAGTAAATGGAAGATCCAAAATGCATGGTCCAAAAAGGGATCATTTGAATTGACCACTCTAAGATATAGCATAATTGACTGCGTGTATTCTATTTTTGGGTAGGTGGAGGGACTAGGTAGGAAAAATATAAAGACAATGGTAATTCTTAAGGACATGCCATGGGAAGTTTGCGTGTGGCACAGTGGTTAAGAGTATGAGCTGGAGCTAGACACGTGGCTTCTTATTCTGGCTTGACTATCTACCGCTTATGTGTTCTTGGCAGGTCCTATAACATTGCTGGGCCTCAGTTTTCTCACCTGTACAATATCTCAGACAGTAGTAACCCGCTATGGTGGTTTTGTATGCTCAGCAAGTTAATTCATGACGAGCACTCAGGTGTATAATGAGTATTGTGTGCTAGATATTATTAGCTATTGGAGTATGTGGCGCATAATATGCGCATTCATTGCAGACTTTTCAAACATGTTTTACAGAGATTTTGATTTATACAAATTATGATTCACATCTTTCCTCCATGTTACCACCGTCACAGCCATCTGGGGGCAGATGGAAAAGCGTGGGCGCATGTCCCTCTTTTGAAGTTATTGAGTCACAGGAAGGATCTTTGTGGTTGTATAGTGTGAATTTCCTCCGCAAGGCTTGGTGTGATCAGGTATTGACTTGCATGGAGCAGGCAGAAGTGAGGCGAGGTTGAAGTTCATGAAGACGAGGTATTGGTGAGCAGATTCCATCTCCATCTTGGCTATTCACAAGTTAGTCATTGCGTTACCTTGGGGGAACCCCAGTTTTGTCAGTACTTCATGCTAAGGTCCCTGATATGCTTTAAAAACAAATTCCCAAGAGGATCTACTGAACTAGTAAAAAGTGCAGACTGCCTCTGCAGGGACATAACTGTTTTCTTTCTGTTAAAGAGTTAATGTATTTGAGTTAGGCCTTTGATATATAAGACTTACTGAACTCAAAGATAGTCTTTTTCCAGTAGATTGGATTTTAAGTGAAGAATTATTTTAAGAGTGAGGACGCCACCACGACTTAGTGCAGTTTAGTTTCTGAATATGAGTACATGTTGATGACAATGAGAATTCTCCTAGGCATTTTAACTAGGTATTTTTTTCCATAGGTGAATTGCCAGTGTAAACATTTTCCTTATTATTTCTGTTCCGAGTTACTTTGTTATCTGAAATACTTTCATACCCCCAAGTTGGAAAGTGAGATAGGCCCACATGCATAGGGTTCTTGCTTGTCAGCATGCACTATTAGAAATGTGAGTTATTCAATGTGAACATCCTTAAGAATTTGAAAAGCCTAAATATTTTTTACATTTCCCTGTTACAGAATGCATCAGTAGTATAGTTTAATGTTAAATACTGTTATTGCCAAAAATCAAAGCAAGCAAACAGCACACAGCTTAGGTATAT